GGCTTGGAAGGCTGCTGACTGAAGCCTCAACTCAATCTACGCAATCTGTCCAGTTGTGTGTGTGTTTGTGTGGGATGGCAGAATAGTGGGCTGAGAGCCAGGCTGGAACGGCTCCTTCTTAACGTGACCTACGACAATCTCACGCACGTCAGATGTACACCGCTCAACCCCGTTGTGTGAAATCCTGGTGCTTGTGTTTGGGGGGCCAGATCGCGCGTATGGTTCGCGGGCAGATAAGGTCATTAGACTATGTCAGCCACCGCGCCCATTCCCGCACCTGTTAATTGATCGGCTCAGACAATTACTGGAGCCTGGGGATGGGAATGGAGAGTGAGTTCGACGACTCAGCACACTTTCCTCACTATAAACAATCTGACGCGCTTGAAGTTATCACGGTGCGCTAGAAGTCGTGGTTTGCAAGGTCGCCAACTGACGAGATAATTTGGACTTCGCAATCGGACCGATGTTGTGTGTTTGTGGTGAGCGGCCGACTGGTGGTCTAGGAGTAAGGCTGCAATGGCTCCTTCTTAATGTAGCATTTATGGCACTCCTACTCCGTGGAATCCCAGCCAGCTGTACGGCCACGTCAGCTCCATTTTGTTGTTGGTTAAAATCTTGGTCATTTGCTGTGCGGGCCAGGGGCTGTGGAGTGGAACGCCAAGGTGCGGCCTCGACCGTGTCATCCACCTGCAACCTCCCCTATTTCCGGCCTTCTTTACTATGTCTTGTCACCGGGTCCAGATGGAGAAGGATTAGGGAGTGTGGTAGATGCTGCGCAAGTCTACATTAACTATAAATTAATTCACGCGCAAGTCACCGCGCCTGCCTGTTGTGGAGCACACGGTGGACATAGTCGGATGCTATGGTCGAGCGCAATTCGGATACGCCGTTCTGCCTAGGAGGTGTGTTCCATAGCACGCACAGGCGGTCTCATAGAGGAAAATAATTTATGGTTTATAGCGATTGCTGAAGAAACCGGTGGAGATTTGGACGGAAATTTTAGCATAATTGTCGCGACGCTTAAGCACTAAGAAGATCCTAGGCAATACAACCCGCAGGCGTGGCCCGGAATGGAGTGCAGAAAGGTTGGCATCGAGTCGAGAGGGTACTGTATTCTGTACTGAAAGATGGGAAACAGGTTGAGAGGAAATGGCAAACAGACGAGAGAATGCGTTTGGCGCCGCGAGAGCGGCGACTCAATTGTTAGGGCACATTGTCACGACGTCTTTCGCGAGGACACGTCCGACTTGACCGTGACGATGATTGGCCGGTTTGGACGACCGTGATCGGCCGAGAACCGGACTGCCACCGGTAGGCGCGCAGGTGCGCGCGAGAGGAGCAGGGTTGCAACCGGCGTCCGAAGTTGAGCCACTGCCCCATTCACCATCGTGAAGTGGACCTACGACAATCCGCCCGACACCATTCGGTCGCAAATAAACCCACCGGTCATTTAGTTGTGCGTCATTCTACTTATCTACTGACAGATAAGCTCAAGGTGTACAAGATGGTTCATTCCTGTGGCAATATTTTACGGGCATTAATAGACCTCGTCATAGGGGCATGGAGAGATTAAATGTGTTTTAGAGAGCATGTATGAAATAATCCTTTTGTGCCTTTTTGAGAAATGAAAACTCGGGTCGTTTTTCAGAATACGTTATGAATTCCGGGAGCATGGCCAGTCGGTCAGTAGCCATAACAATGAGTAAGTAAACTATTACGAAGCATAAACCACTCGCTTTTTAACTAATTTCATTAGCCAATGGCATAATTTCCTTCGAAAAGTTAAAACAGCTGGTATTTTATGCACGAATTCTGAGAGACGTGATTCAATTAATACAAATCTCGAAGGTCGAAGCCAACGGTTGCTGACAAACGTGGGTGTTCTACCTCCAATCACCATTATGCAGCTTCCTAAACCGCTGACAAAATGGAGTCTCAAGGTAGAGAGAGCGACGGAACAATTTTCCGTGGTGAATGCTCATTTCCCAGGGTTTGAAAACCTAACCATTTACGAGTATGGGTAAAATGAAGCTTGTTAGTGAGAGAAACGCCGATATGGACGCAATATGCGACCCAGAGTTGCACAATACTTGTCACTGCCTACTGAATTTCACAAAAGCAGTGTCGTTTTGATGTGATTACTTTACCAGCTAAGACAGCGATGCATCCACACTCGCAGTTGCCGGCAGGTCTGTAATTCCCACGAGTGTCCAATCGCAATAGTAACATAGTCTCCATACGTCATAAACCGCTTTTCCCACTATACTCCAGTGGCAGGTCTGTTGCGGTGTTCAACGCCTTAGACCACTGTAACGTGACCGGATAGTCGCTAAAGACGTGGTATTGCACATCGTGAACTTCATTAGTTACTTATTTATTAATTACGCATATGAAAACACGTGTGCCTGCCAGTCTCACGTTCACTCATTGCACCCATACACGGAAATCTTCCGTAAACGGCGCCTACCAGCACGCCTTACCATCGCCTCTCTGACTTGTAATGCCTCCGTCAGTTATTCGATTTGCACGGCTTTAGTTTACTTCAGATGACCCTCGCTGGATTTCTTCATTTGACCTGTCCCATCCTTTCTGTTTCGGCCAATCTCTTCGGGGGTTACGGTCCGCTACTTTGCGTACTTGTCATTGATATACTTGTGCCGAGGCGCCAGACTATCTTGCCTTTCCTACCTGTTCATCATTCTTGAACTTACTGGTGGTTTAACTGAATGAAAGGAACATAACGCAACGCGACGCGCTCGGCAGGCGTTGGATTGTCAGGTCGTTTGCCATTTGATTGTTAATTCTATCATAACTCTGGTCTTATCCTAATATCCATTGCCTGGGATTGACAGTTATGTCCTGAGCGCTCGCAACAGTGGTGACCTTTTGGCGTTCGCGCTTATACCTTTAATCTGTTTACTTTCTGTTTGCATACAGTCCGTTTACCTTGTTTCTTTCTACCATTATGGCCTCTACGGATTCCAAAGATGCCACTACTTCTCTCAGTGGACTTGGTTCGTCTCTCCCAGGCTTTTGGCAACATGCACCAGAACTCTATTTTTTCCATATCGAGGCGGCGTTTCACTCCGCCAAGATAACTCGAGAAACAGACAAATATTATAAGTTGGTCGAGGCCCTTCCTCCTACCATTCTTTCCCAAGTGCATACGTTTTTGCGAGATCTCCCGACTGGCGCTCCCTACACCATGTTAAAGGCTGAACTCCTTCGTTTGACATCAGTCTCGGATCGGCAGAGTTATCACGCACTGGTAAAAGAAGAGGCCTTAGGTGATCGTTAGCTGTCGGAACTCCTGCGTCGTATGCGTTCCCTCGTTGGGAACATGGTCATCGACGATAAGGTCTTTAAAGAGAACGTCTGCCGACATCGGTACAAACAATTTTGGCCTCCGACTCAGATGACCTACACATACCAAAGCTAACGCAAATGGCCGACCGTATGATGAAGGTGGAGCGTTTGTCATTCCCGACGATTGCTCAGGTTTCCCAGCCTCTCGTCGTGTCCACCTCTGGCCTGGCTGAACTAAAGACAGATTGCCCAGTTGTCGGCGACTGTTGCCGCTTTGTGGCTGCGCCGATCTGCCCGTCCCTCTCGACGTCCCTTTGGTCGTGACCGTCGTCGTTCCCGCTCTCGCCCCAGGACCGCAAACCTATGCTGGTATCATGTCAACTATGGCGATAAGGCGCGGCGCTGTGTCCCACCCTGCTCATTCAAGTCCACGCAGGGAAACTCCTCGGCCGGGGAGTGAATGCGGCCGAGCTCTCTGGCAACTCTTCGGGTCGCACCTTTTACATCAGTGATAACACGAGTGGCAGGCATTTTTTAGTCGACACTGACGCTCAAATTAGTGTTAGTCCCTCCCACGCCAGCCGACCGACATTGCCCAAACCATAGTCTTTTCCTTCGAGCCGTCAATACATCCCCCATTACAACCTTTGGATTTCGATTCTTCTCTCTGGATATTGATTTCAGGCGATTATTCCCCTGGATATTTGTGGTGGCCGATGTTCCCACCGCCATCCTTGGTGCTGATTTTTTGGCCGCCTTTGACCTTCTGGCGGATTGCAGGCAACTTTGCCTCCTTGATCGCGCAAAGACCATCACCGTCAAAGAATTTCCTCCATCCTCAGATTCCAACCATTTATCCGTCCTTGACCCAAATCCTGACTGTCCATTTCGTGGACTTTTAGCGAAATATCCTACTCTCACTGAGCCCCATTTTTCTGACACATCATTGCCCCATCATATTGTTCATCACATAAAAACGACTGATCCTCCCATTTTCTCTCGTCACCGCCGTCTTGCTCCCGGGCGTCCTGCGGAGGCTAAAGCTGAATTTGACCACATGCTGCAACTAGGGATTATTCGACAGTCTGACAGTCCCTGGGCATCTCCTTTGCACATAGTTTCTAAACCAAATAAGGGATGATTGGCGTCCTTGTGGCGATTATAGAGCCCTAAACAATATCACTATGCCCGATCGGTATCCGGTTCCTCACCTTCAGGATTTGCCGGAGCTCCCTGTGGCTAAACCGTTTTCTCGAAGATCGATTTGGTGCGAGTTTTTCATCAAATTCCGATTGCGGCTGAGGACATTCCCAAAACGGCCGTGACGACTCCTTTTGGCTTGTTTGAGTTCCTTCGTATGCCACTTGGTCTCCGAAATGCCTCACAGGCTTTCCAACGTTTCATTGACCGTGTTTCACGTGGCCGTCCATTTGTTTATGCGTATATTGATGATGTCATCGTCGCCAGTCGATATGTCGAGGAACATCTCCAACACCTTGCCCTGCTTTTCGACAGATTTCAGCAGTTTGTTGTCACCCTGCATCCTGCCAAATGTGTCCTAGGAACCACTTCGCTTGAGTTCTTAGGTCACCTGACAGACTCAAACGACATTCGGCCTCTTCCCCCAAAGGTTACCGCCATTCGCGACTTTCCACCCCCTACCTCGAAGCGTCAGTTGCAACGGTTCCGTGGTAATGGTGAACTTTTATCGCCGGTTTCTTCCGAACTGTGCCGATACCATCCTACGTCTGACCAGTCTCCTCGCAGGTTCTATGCGCAGCTTTGAACTTAAGCCAGCAGCACTCACGTCATTTGAGCAGGTAAAAACCCTTCCGGCTGATGCCACCCTCCCAACTCACTTTCATCCTAATGCACCCATATGTCTGATGGTCGATGCCTACAATGTTGCTGTTGGCGCGGTTCTTCAACAAAGTCTGCCAGATTCTACCGTGCCTTTGGCTTTCTTCTCCAAGAAACTATCCAAGGCCGAAACCCGCTACAGCACATTCGAACGTGAACTTCTCGTCGCTTATCTTGCCGTAAAGAACTTCCGGCATTTACTGGAAGATCAAGAGTTCACAATCTTCACAGATCATAAGCCACTCACCCTTGCTATGCATTCCCACTCTGACAAGCTAAGCCCCCGGGAGATCCGTCACCTGGACTACATTTCGCAGTTCACTTCAGATATCCGCCCTATTGACGGGTCACGGAATGAGGTGGCTGACGCACTCTCCAGGTCCTCTATTGCTCATCTTCAGCTTTCGCCTGGGATATACCTCGCTGAGATGGCCGCTGAACAACGCCGTCTCGGTTCACCTTGTGATGAGGATGTTTCAGGACTCCAACTTCAGGAACTACCACTGACAACTGGCAACGGCACCATTTTATGCGACGTATCCACCCCTTCCCACCGTCCATTTGTGCCACCATCCCTCCGCCGTACAGTTTTCTCGTCCCTGCACAATCTCTCTCACCCTGGGGGTCGAGCAACCGACAAGCTAGTTTCCGACCGCTTCGTCTGGCCTGGGATGCACAAAGACCTGAAAGCATGGACACGGGCTTGTATCCCCTGTCAACGGAGTAAGATCCAGCGGCACAACAAGGCCCCCATTGACACCTTCCCCGGCCCTGGTTCAAGGCTCAGCCATGTTCACTTGGACATTGTAGGTCCCCTGCCTCTGTCCAATGGTTGTTCCTATCTCCTCACCCTTGTGGATCAGTCCACTCGGTGGCCTGCAGCTATTCCCCTGCCTGACATTGCTGCTCCAACGGTGGTCAAGGCTTTTCTCAGTAGTTGAGTTGCTATTTTTGGTGCACCCTCCACAAGCACGACTGTTCGTGGTGCCCAGTTTGAGTCTAACCTTCCCCAGTCTTTCCTCTCCTTTTTTGGCTCTACCCGCATCCGGACAACAGCCTACCACCAGGCCGCTAACGGGATGGTCGAGCGGTTTCACCGCCAGCTGAAGGCCTTCCTACGCGCCACGGCCGATCCGGAGAACTGGACGGACCACCTTCCCCTGGTCCTCTTGGGCATCCGCTGCGCACTCAAGCCGGACCTTGACTGTTCTGCAGCTGAACTGGTGTTCGGCGCCACCGTCCGACTCCCCGGTGAGATGATCTCGCCAACCCCGCGAGGTGCAGTTGAGGACCATACCAACCTCCTGCGTCGCCTCCGGCAGTTTATGCGGACACTTTCTCCGGTTCTGCTCAGGTCCTCCGCCTCTCCGTCTTATTTCGAGAAAGACTTGGCAATGCGCTCTCACGTTTACCTTCGATGTGATCGAGTCCGCCGGCATCTGGAACCACCCTATGACGGCCCATTCCGGGTGCTCTCTCGCGGGACGAAGACTTTCCGCATTCAACGTGACAGTCGTGAAGAGGTCGTGAGTGTGAACCGCCTCAAGGCTGCCGTCTCGGACACTCCTCAGGATGAGCCCTGTGGTCTTCTACCTTCTGCTCCCCCCACCTGCCGCCTCTATTCCACCGTCCGTATTTTCCCTCCGCCTTCCTGTCCGCTACCGCTGACTGCCACCACCAACTCCAACACTTTCGCCACAAGATGCATTCACCCTTCTACGGACCCTGTATATATCACTCGCAGTGGTCGTCACGTACACTTTCCTGATCGTCTGGTCACTCATTTCTTTTAGACGTGTATACATCCTTCGGCGTCGTTTTCGTCGCCCTCCGGTCTCGGAATGCGGTATTGTACCGAGGCTCCAGACTATCTTGCCTTTCCTACCTGTTCATCATTCTTGAACTTACTGGTTGCTTAACTGAATGGAAGGAACACAACTCTACGCGACGCGCTCGGCATGCGTTGGATTGTCAGGTCGTTTGAAATTTGATTGTTAATTCTTTCATAACTCTGGTCTTTTCCTGATATCCATAGTCTGGGATTGACAATTGCGTTCTTAGCGCTCGCAACATACTTTACTGTCACTTACTTCCAGCGCGCTTCATTCGTTTCCTATTCATGTTCCACGCACCCGGCAAACATTTGTGCCAGCTTACTTTACGTTTACTCTCTACACCGTATAACCCCTCCTTACACCGGTCCCGTAAGATAGGAGGACCTATCCTCCGTTATTTGGAAGGGGTCGCATAGTGCGTCGTTGCCGAAACGCCAAACTAATTCCCAAACTCCCGTTCATACAGTATATACAACGAAATGAACAACTACGAAGGTATGCACTGTCGTTCAACACAACTAATGCCCAATTGTGATAACTGCGGTAGCAAATGAAAGCATAACCTGCATCAAACATAGGGGGAAAACAATTAGGCTAACCACCTCGAAGAAATTCGGACCACCGCGGGGCGGTGGAAAATTTACTATCTTACTCGCCGACAAAGGCCGTGAAACAGACATCGTTTGTTAGGATGACTACAGGCGGAAAGTCAAAACCCTTCTTGAATATGGACAATTTTACAGGGCCAAGGGTATACCCCTAATCGAAACAATGGCAGCTCTTTTGAACTGATTATATGGAACCAGGTCTACGAAAACTAAATCGATAAATGAAGAACACCAAAGAAAACCATCAGTTGCCGTTACACCAGATAATAATAGCTATACAATGCCTCCAGAATAGATTTTAAGTAGTGGCTACTTGCCCTTCAAGTAGGTATGCCTGCTTGTTAGTTAACATCTTTGAAAAACTGACCCGATTTAACAATTTTATGACAAATTCACGCGGACTCTCATCAGAAAACTTATGTAACCTGAGCTTTCACGCTTCGCGGGAATCTGGTCAGAAATGCACATAAACATATAGCAGGATGCGTTGTATTTACGGTTAAGCGCATTGTTCTCGTCTACCTACTGAAATAGCATACTTCTTCAAATCCAACATCCGCAATCGCATAATGATGTAAAGCAGCGCTTCAGCATTGTTAATCCGTCCGATTGGATGTGTCGTATCCTGTGCCTTAAATATATGCATTTTGGTTATGCCATAGGGATACAACTTATCCCGAATTACTGGCCGTGCGTTCCTGCTGAGAAACGTTTCCTGGTGTTGCAGTCCAAGGATGAATATCCTGAATGAAAAAATGTAGGGTCTCGAGGTTGGCGGCCTGCGGAACTCGAAAAAGAACCGCAGCGACCAACTAATCTATACCCCCAGTCGTACACTGCCTTGAACAATCGTATCCCGAACTGCACCAAAGGTCGTCTGTTATGGCTTCTTCACTTGCTGCTAGTTATTTCTTTGCGCTCATGCTTGAAGAGGGAGTGCGGATTTGGTTGTAATAAGTAAATTCCCAAGGGCTCAAGAGTTAGTGCAATGTAATGTTTTTGTTCTTACGACTGACTGGCAGCTTGGTCCAAGTCAGATGGCGTTCTGAAACAAGTCCCATTTTATTTAAATTTATTCACGACAGCCCCTTATTTGGACGACATAAAACTGAAGGTTATCAATAACTATTTGCTGATAACTCCTCCTTCTTTTTTACTTGATCAGCTGTTTCTTCACGTTAACGTCCGATTTCACTAGGGATAGTTACCGATGAACGCGCTCAATTACCCTGCATCGTTTAAACAAGCGTCTGTTTACTTAGACACAATCTCGCACCAGTCGTTCATTACATTTTCCCCACTTGCTGGTGGTGGAAAGCTGGAATCCCAATTTCTAAACATGCGTGTCAGCCATTCTGGGACTAACAAATTACACGCGCATATGCGTTGTCGGCCGGCCTTTTTAACTCGTCCAGTCAGCTTGACGGCGAAAAATTCAACAATGTCAACATTCACTAGCGCTCTGCACGCATCACCACCTTATCAACTTACGGTCTTCGACTTACTCCAAACTACACCATACCAACGTGTGCGCCCCATTCAGAAGGCCAGAAATGTGGTTAATCCATGTTTGTCCTGTAAGGTCCATTTTGAGTGCCAGATGGAAGACGGCACATTTCTATCTAGACAGAGTAGCTCCATTTTTGATTAACTTGGACAATAGTAGGTTGTGATATCGCTAAAGAATTGTGGTCACAAATTAAGCACCAAGACAGCGACGTAAGGGGCAAAATATGTAGATTCTGAAAATGTCTGCCAGCTTCGTCGTCTTGATTATTCGAGGCCACAGAGAACTTATGGTCGTAGTTAGATTTTCGACTAACTTGGTAATCCATATCTAGAGCTACGTTCTCGCAAGAATTTCGAATACCTGCCATTATGTTTTTGCCTAATCATTTTGACAAAATTTTTTAGGATTTACTCGAGTTTTGTGTGCTGCTCTCAGCCGAGGATACTAGTGACTGGCTAAATCAGTCTAAGCAAATACGCAAACGTTTCCAGGTCCCCATGATATACGACTGAAACGACAGTGTAAGTGGGTAAAATGGCCAATTATGATGACAGGCAGTGCATGACAACGTGAACGTTGGCCCGTCTGCACGTGCCACACACGAACTGGCCCGGATTTCACACAAGGAAAATGAGCAGCTCGAACTTCCCATCTAATACCTGTAGAACTCGTGGCATGGCGTAACAAATTCGGAACTGATGTCTTAACTCAGAATTCGGCCAGGAATTCTAGACGAGATGATAAGCGCCAAAAATAGTGAGTATAGGAACGCCTGGCTTGTTCTACAAAAACAGTATTTTCTAAAGCCATCAAGACTTAAGACATTAAATGTACAAAGCATCTAGCCCTGTAAGCTCGCTTGTCTTATAGGATAACTTCAAGGCTATAACCAAGGTGGAAAGTCTGAGAACATAGTTCGGGACTCTCTGTGCAGTCTTAATAGTTGAGGCTGCAAAAACTCCCCAATGGCGTCCTATTAGAGCTAAAGGAAAATACGATGACAGTTCGGTACTTCTTGTGGAAAGTAAAAATGCGGCGTCTACACAACATTTAAGAAACTAGCAAGAAAATGAAATTAAACTACTGTGGCTGCGACAATTAGCAGTCAAAGCCAAAAGTAAGTCAGTGAAAATTGAGCTTGTTCTATCAGCCCACAGAAAAAGATATGAATCATCCGAATCATGCACATCTGGACAAAGAAATATTAACAGCTGTTTTGGCAGATTTTGAATAAAAATAGCAAGACTCGGGCATAGTCGTGTCTCTAAAAGGGCCAACTAATAAGACTCGTGTGGATTGTTTGTTGAAAGGTAATGGTAGAGGGAAGGGGGCAATCGAAGTCAACAGAAAAGAAAGTGTGAAATTAAAAGGAAACAGATGGATTATTGATGAAGTAAAAGCATGTTTTGCAGACCCGAACCGGTTTGTTCAGACCATACTTCACAATAGGCACATCTTGCTCCGAACACGCGTTACAGAGAACACGTCCACAGTGCCGACTGGAAAACAATTCGAGCAATATTAGATAAGCAATCTCTAGTGCAGCAGTAGGTGTTAGCAACTTTTAAAAAACGTCCTGGGTGAAACTATCCATAATGCAAATGCTTATGGACCAACCAACTTCACTAAATTACGCGCAGTAAGCAGAAAAGTGTTGGGATTGTAAGGGATAATAGCTAAACAAAATGGTATAATAGGACATCGAAGAGATTAAACGTTATGGGAACAGACTGCAACAGTTTCGGACTGACTTGGCTACGGAAAGTCCCACTGGGATAAAAATTAGGCACGGGTATTCTCAAACTGACTTTGATTACTCCTGATCATAAGCTGTCATGTAGCCAAGAACAAATTGCAATTACGTCACATAGAGGACCAGGCGAATTCATTAGAGATTGACTACAAATTAATAGTAACCCGTCAGGTTGTTAGATATCATCATGCAAAACAGGTTGCCTTGGCCATTAGTGACCGATGCTACTGGTCAG